GAAGCTTTAATGTCAAGAGAGAACTTATGTCATTTAATGCATAAAATACATCACTAACATATGGATTATCTGATTCTAACTTTTTTATCCATTCAGTTATAGGTTTTATTCGGTCCAATACTTTATCTATTTTATACCAAAATGAAAAATCAACAATGTGCATTTGTATATTTCCTAGTTTCTTAATTACATTGTCATCATCAGGCCAAGCTAATTGCTGCAAAATCCCTTTATTTTGTATAAGACTTTCTAAGTAGTAAACAATTCAACCCCATCGAGTTTTAACAGGCATTTTTAAAGTAGTAAATACCTCTTTTTTTTGACTTTTGAATTATAACAAATGTAGATTTTAAAATATGAGTGTTATAAATTGTCTTTACTATGGTTTTTGCCATTTCTTCCAATGCACTCACATTTTTTAAGTTTGAATATATCATGTACAAGTAAGTTTAATGTATGGCATATACATGAATAATATGCTATAGGTAAGTCTTTATAACGTGGATCATACTTTAAAATTGTCCATGCTTTTTTCATAGAAGCTGCGTTATCTGATACATTACCTAAGCAACGATATTTTCCAATACTATCAATAACTATACTTAACTCATTGGCTACATACTCCGCTGTATGTCTACTTGTAGTAGTACTTAAAGATTTTTAAACAACTGGTTCTGGGGTAGTAATAATAATATTCATAATAGGTTCATTTCTAAAATGAATAATAAAATATAATTAGATACACATTTTTATTTAAAATAGTATCAATCATTATACCTGATATTACTCCAGCCGTCTATCTGTATTCTAAACACAAATGCTTCATGAACTTTTTTATTTACATTAGTTGACATCTGTATATATTCATCATCAAGAAGTTTATTAGATATAAGATGTCTTGATGGAGGAATAAAACTTGGCCTTAAACCTTTAAAATTTTGAATCCAATAATCATTTTCCACAATGGAAAATGGAGTTGCTGTTGAATATATAGCTGTTGCCAAAAGTTTCCATAAATTTTCCTATTTAGTCAATAATAATTAAAAAATATACTCTAAAAAGTTATTTGGTATGTAAAAAATAAAACTGTTTTCTAAGTTATATACACTAAGTATTTATTGATTTTTATTTTAATATAGTAAGTCTTACAAATTTCAGATGTCTAACTAACAATACAGTAAGTTGATATCTATTATCATTGTTTATAAATACTATAATATAGTATTTATAGTCAATGCTATTATCTTCATAATATTATTGGTTTCATTTAAATATTTTAAATTCAAAAATATAATTAATAGTTAATAGGTATATTAACTTATACAATAATTTATAAAAATGGACAAAAATTATTATGTTTAAAAGTATAAAGATATACCTGTTTAATAATTATAATTTAATATTCATAGCTATAAGTATTCTTATAAAAGTATTGGACTTTATAAATTGTCATATTAATAAATACCTATGCAAAAATAATAAAAATTAAACTAATATTTAATAGATAAGTTGGCTATAGCTGTATTTGTATGTATAATATGGTTAATTTATAAATTCTAGAATATTTATTTTTAATCCATTTTTATCTTCATGATTTAAAATTTATAAAATTAATTAAAATAACAGATAATCAATATAAATTAAAAAGTAATAATATTCTTACTTGTTCGTTTGAATTCATTCCATCCATAAATTATGTTATATTTCCTTGTTTTAAATTAGAATTTTGGTCCTGGATATTT